ATGACGGCAGAGGGAGGGGAGCCGAAATGGATGCCATGCACCCGAACACCCATAGAACTGACTCTGATGCCGGGGGGGGAGCATGAAACCAGAATCAGGATGAAATGTGGGATCTCAGAGTCGGAAGACTTTGATGTGCTGATGGGCACAGAACTGGTGTTTGCAGTAGGGATGACCATATGCACTTGGACAGAGAGGGTCGAGTTTAGGACACAATACTGAAAGAAGGAGGGACCCTTGGGACAGCTACCAGAGCGGTTTGTAAAGGTAGAGCCCAAGAGAGCATACCAGGTCACGGCTGGACTGGTGCCAAAGCAACAGCAGGCAGGAGAGCAGAAAAGGGAAAAGGGGCCAAGGGAGGGGCCCAGGATGAATTGGATGGATGAGCCGAGGCAGCAGAGCGATTGGCAGCAGCCCATCCGTCTGGTAGAGCTATTTGGAGGAATAGGGGCGGGACTGGCAGCGGTGGTGAGGAGCGGAATCCCAGTGCAGAACTGGATATACGTGGAACGGGAGCCGGTAGTGAGGAGGATGGCGGAGCACCACGCGTGGAAGCTGCAGGCAGAATTCCCAGATTTACTGAATGGGAGGGTGATCAAAGAAGCCATGGGCAGAGCGGTCCATGATGTGAAGGAGATAACAGAGGCGGAGGTAGCCAGCTGGGGGCATGTGGATCTGCTAGTGGCGGGGTGGGAGTGCCAGGGAGTGTCGTGGGCAGGTAGAGGGAAAGGAGGAGAGGATCCCAGGACGAAGCCGATGGAGGACCTATTCCGCATCATGGAGTGGCTGCAGGAAAGACAAGGCAGGGTGGCTTACCTAATAGAGAACCTAGACCTGGAAGGGGACTGACGGGAGCCAATCCGAGTGGTTAAAGAAAGGATCAGGGGGCAACTAGGAGAAGGAGTGAGCTGTGATGCAGCCAGAGCGGGGTCTTACGCGCATCGGCTCAGGATGTATTGGCAGAATGTGGTCCCGGCCCTGAGTCCGCAGGAGGAGATGGACGGAGTAAGGAGAGCACGGAGAAGGAGGGTGCAAGAGATCTTAGAGCCAGGAAGGACAGCAGCTCCGGTGTGCTAGAAGGGCTACAGCAGGCACTACCCTTGCAATAGAGTGGGGCAAGACAGATGCGCTCTTCCCACTCTAGTTGCATATGCAGGAGCGGCGGGGTATGAGTATACAGCAGGAAAGCCAGGGCCAGGGATGATATACGACCATGGGAGGCAGAAGTGGGAGGAGCCAACCGCACTGGAACGAGAGCTCGCCATGGGGTACACTGAGAATGCAACGGCAGCACCAGAGGTGAGCGAGACGGACAGAAGGAGAGCACTAGGGAATGCCATGGATGGTTACATGCTGAGGTGGCTAATACAGCGGATGTGGCGGGAGACGGTCATGAAGTGGGGGCAGGAGGAAGAGAAGGAGGGTGCCGACTCACTCCCTCAAGGAGTATGGACCTGCCGAGAGGAAAGAGGGGAAAAGTGGAAGGTGGGAGAGGCAGTGAGCGAAGAAGGGAAGGAAGCCATGCAACAGCTGCTGGCCAAGCATAGGAAATGCTTCGCCTTCACCCTGCAGGAGCTGGGCAGGTGCAAGGTGAAGGAGATGGAGCTAAAACTGAGCAGTACGGAGCCGGTGTTTCATCGTAGGAGGAAGATGCCCCACGGGGACAAAGAGACCTGCAGGAGAAGATCAAGGAGTTGCTGGAAGCTGGACTGATCCGGCGATCAGAATCAGAGTATGCTACACCAACAGTGGTAGCGGCCAGGAAGGATATGACAGGGGAGGTGCTGAGCAGAAGGATGTGCGGAGACTACAGAGCACTTATCAAAATCACCATAGCGGACAGGTATCCCATGCCAATGGCTGAAGAGATCTTTGACAAGCTAGCTGAGGGGGTGTACTTCACAACGCTGGACCTGCGGCAAGGGTTCAACCAGATCAAAATCAGAGAAGAAGACATCAAGAAGACGGCCTTCCATGGGCCAGACGGGTTATACGAGTGGTTGTACATGCCATTCGGGTTGAGGAACGCGTCAGCCGTGTTCCAGAGAGTCATGGATGCCGTGCTGCGGGGGCTGGAGTGTGCCGCATGCTACATCGATGATGTAGTGATCTTCAGCAAGACAGAGCAGCAGCACCTGCGAGAAGTGGAGAAGACCCTGACGGCGATAGAGGCAGCAGGACTCACCTGTCACCCGAAGAAGTGCAGATGGGGCGAGCAGACCGTGCAGTACCTGGGTTATGAGGTGACAGGGGGGCAGATTGGGATCCAACAGGCCAAGGTGGAGGTCTTAGACAGGCTAAGGGAGTCGAAGGACAAGTCAGGCCTGAGAGCGGTGCTGGGTTTCCTAAGCTACTACCGGCGGTTTGTGCCCAACTTCAGCAAGCGAGCGTCGGTGTTGAACGGACTGCTGAGGGAGGACAAGGTGTGGGAGTGGGGTGAGGCACAAAAGGGGGCACTACAAGATTTGATGACGGCCGTGAAGACAGCGACCGTATTGCAGCTTCCAGCCGCAGATCAGCCATTCACTCTCTACACTGATTGGAGCAGCCAAGGGATGGGAGGGATACTCTGTCAAGAGGTAGAGGGGGACGAGAAAGTGGTAGCATACGCCAGTAGGAGTTGCAACTCGGCAAAGGCGCAGCACATCTCCTACATAGGGGAAGGGTTAGCAGCAGTATGGGCGGTGGGGCACTTTAGGGTGTACCTGCAGGGTCGGGAGTTCACCTTAGTAGCAGATCACCAGCCAGTAACATGGCTGATGACTACGCCGGGATTGACGGGCAGGAACGCACGGTGGGCAATGAAGCTGCAGGAGACTTCAAGATCAAACACAGGCCAAGGAAAACCTTACAGCATGTGGATGGACTCTCCAGGAACCCCCCACCGCTGGAACCGACAGTGACCTTGACACTATTAGCAAGGCAGGTGGAGCAGAGGGGAGCCAAGGGGAGCAAAGAGCCGGCAGATATATGGGAAGATGAGCAGGCCTTGCGATGGGTGAGAGGAGAGACAGGGGAGGACGAGAAAATGACGGAGAGGGTGCGAGCGAGAGGGCAGCATTACAGGTGGTACCAGCACCATTTACAGATACAGACAGAGGACGGCTGGAAACTGGTGCCAGCACCAACGGAGAGGGATGCAGTGATCAGGGAGGTGCATACAAAACTGGGACACTTCGAGCACGAAAGGACAGTACAGCTGCTGAAGACGGGGTGGTGGTGGGAAGGGATGCGCAGGCAAGTGAAGAGCTGGGTGGAGGGCTACGAGGCATGCCAAAGGAGCAGTGCAAACCTCACCCAAGCTAGGGCAGAGCTGCAGTCCCTGCCCATTCGCGGCCCAGGCTTCAGATGGTCACTGGATTTGGCGGGGGAGCTGCCACTAAGTCGGGGAGGGAAGCAGTACATTGTGCTTATGGTAGAGCACGTGAGCAAGTGGTTGGAAGTCAGGGCGATCTCCAGCAAAAACTCAAGCCATGTGGCAGCGGCATTCAAGGAGCAAGTGATATGCAGATTCGGAGTATGCGCAAAGGTGCTCACGGACCAAGGAACCGAGTTCCAAGGAGAGTTCAAGAAGTTGTTGGAGGAGGCAGGAATCACTCACAAGCGCACCTCCCGCTATCACCCACAGAGTGAGGGGCTGACCGAGCGCCTGGTACAAACGTTGAAGAGAGGGCTGAGGGCATATGGAGAAACGAGGAAGCGGGACTGAGATGATGAGCTGCATTGGATTGCAGCAGGATATCGGTTTGGGAAGCAAGCTGCCTTGAGAGATCACTCCCCGTATAGTCTCCTGTTTGGCTGCGAGCCGGTACTGCCAGTAGGGGCTCCACGGGTCCTCACAGACACGGTGACTGCAGGCACCATAGGCAATTGGGTGGCACTGTCAGAAGCCAGAGCCAGGTACTTGCGGGTGATGATGCCTGCAGCACTGGAAAACCTCCACACAGCACAGCTAAGGGATGCAAGACAGTATGAGCAACGCCAGCAACAGGGGATGGGGGGCAGAGCAAAGAAGGGAGTGGGTGTGGGGCAAGAAGTGTACCTGAAACGTGCAAAGCATGACACCTTGGACGTCGGGGTGGGGACAGAAAGATGGAGGGTGAAGGAGGTGCGTCCATCAGGGATACTGGTACTGGAGAACGAGAGGGGAGCTAGAGTGAAAGAGCATCAGTCCAACACGGCCTTGATAAGGGGAAGTAAGCCTCAGCAAGAGGGTCCTGTGACACGAGCTCAGGCTACACGAGCTCAGACACAGGAGGGGGCAATGAGTGACTGAGGCAGAATGACACGGTGAAGGGAGGAAGGAGGAAGCAAGCAAGAAGAAGAGCAGGTACTTCAGAGGAGTTCTCTGACAGCTGTCACCGCATATGCACATTATGCATATGCAATAACAGTAGAATACAGGTGCAGGAGGAAGAATAGTATAGAAGGATATATGCACTTAATGCATATATATAGCAACACTAGCATGAGGGCAGAATGTAGTACAGTAACGGTTGCAATAGGCAAAAGAGGGGGAAACAGAAAAGGGACGGCTGGGTTAGCGGGGGAAAGGCACCGAGGGGCGAAATGGGAAACCAAATCCCAACCCCGAGCCGCACATTGGGACATGTGCAATCTGGGGCAGGGTTGGGTAAAGCCACTCACACTCACCCACTCGATGCTTGTTTCCTATTATTCTCTTGGAATAGTGAAGGTTGTCATCTTAGCTCTAGCATTCAGTGGCACACCACTAAGAGGGAACCTTTGGGGTGAGTGACTGAGGCAGAATGACACGGTGAAGGGAGGAAGGAGGAAGCAAGCAAGAAGAAGAGAAGGTACTTAAGAGGAGTTCTCCGACTTAGCATATCCTGGGGCAGGCAGAGTTCCTTTTGAGAGATCTCGAAAGTAAATTACGAAACATGGATGATTGGTGCACTCACGGCAGTGGAGGATTTAAGCAGCTCACGAATCGCCATGGTGGCGTATCTCAATGCAGGCAGAGTCCCTTTCGAGGATTATCAGAAGTGCATCATGTAACATGGAAGGCTGCTGGCACTCACAGCAGTGGATGCCTTAAGCAGCTCACGAATCGCCATGGTGGCGTATCCCGAGGCAGGCAGAGTGAATTCTACTTGCAGCGCCACCCTCACACCCTCCTGTGCTGCTCCCTCCACCCCTCGCTCTCCCCTCCTCCCTGCCGCTTGCTCCTTCCCCTCCCCGCTACCCGCTCCAGCGTCCTTTTCTCCCTGCTTTACCTTCTCCTTCTCATCACCACCATCCTCATTCCCGTTCTCCATCTCACTCTCAACTATCCCTTCCGCTTTTTCTCCATCCTCTGTCGCCGCACCTGCCTCAGCTTCGCCCCTCTCAGGCCCACCCTCCTCCCCATCACCCCCCTCCACCAGGGCCCCAATGGGCCCTTCCCCAATCCCCAGGCGCTCCAGCTCGTCTCTGCCCAGCCACACTCCATCTGATGAAGCCAACACCACCACTGCCGGCACTGCCCCTGCCGCTTCCCCTCCTGCCCCTGCTTCTCCTGTTGCTGCGTCTACCCCACTGAGTGCAGCACCGCCAGCAGCAACCCCTGCCTTTTCTTCTCCCCTCTGCGCCTGTTTGAGGGCTCCCTTGTACCCCGGCTGCTTGAACCCATAGTACACATGCGCTGCCTCCACCACTGCAGGAGCGTCACTGCCAGAGGTAGCAGCAGCATCACCGCTAGCGGTGGCAGCAGCAGGAGCAAGAGGAGGAGTGCCAACATCACCGCTAGCGGTGGCAGCAGCAGGAGCAAGAGGAGGAGTGCCAACATCACCGCTAGCGGTGGCAGCAGCAGGAGCAAGAGGAGGAGTGCCAACATCACCGCTAGCGGTGGCAGCAGCAGGAGCAAGAGGAGGAGTGCCAACATCACCGCTAGCGGTGGCAGCAGCAGGAGCAAGAGGAGGAGTGCCAACATCACCGCTAGCGGTGGCAGCAGCAGGAGCAAGAGGAGGAGTGCCAACATCACCGCTAGCGGTGGCAGCAGCAGGAGGAGCATCAGTGCCAGCAGCACCAGCTGCTGCTGCTGAGCTCGAGTCTACTGCAACAGCTGGGGTGGCCGAGGCAGGAGCAGCAGCAGAGGTAGGGGGTGTGGGGCCAGGAGCGGTAGGGGCGTGTGGGGAGGCGAGGGCAGCAGCAGCGATGCGGTCGAGGTCAGTCTCGGCCAGCACTTGTGTGGGGCGCCAGTAAGCCAGCACTCTCCTGTGACAAGTGTTGGGGAATGAGGTGGGGAAGGGAATAAGGGTGGGATTACTTGCGAGGGCAGGGGAGACAGAGTGGGGGACGCAGGGAGGGAAAGGGTTATGGAAGTGGGGGCGGGAGGGGGTGTGGGGGAGGAGGTGTGGCGAAGGAAACAGCTGAGGGATATGGTTGAGATCAGTCGTATACAAGGAGCAATTCGAGTTAACAGCTGTGTGCTTGGAACACAGGGTGCCTCCCAAGGTGCCTCACAGAGTGCCTCCCAGGGAGAGTGAGAGGGTGAGACAAAGAATCGCCTCACCAGTTGTAGTTGGAGGGGCGCTGCAGCAAGCGCCTGTAGCCCCCTGGGATGCGCTTTTGAGTCGACTCAAAAGTGCCTCACAGAGTGCCTCCCAGGGAGAGTGAGAGGGTGAGACAAAGAATCGCCTCACCAGTTGTAGTTGGAGGGGCGCTGCAGCAAGCGCCTGTAGCCCCCTGGGATGCGCTTTTGAGTCGACTCAAAAGTGCCTCACAGAGTGCCTCCCAGGGAGAGTGAGAGGGTGAGACAAAGAATCGCCTCACCAGTTGTAGTTGGAGGGGCGCTGCAGCAAGCGCCTGTAGCCCCCTGGGATGCGCTTTTGAGTCGACTCAAAAGTGCCTCACAGAGTGCCTCCCAGGGAGAGTGAGAGGGTGAGACAAAGAATCGCCTCACCAGTTGTAGTTGGAGGGGCGCTGCAGCAAGCGCCTGTAGCCCCCTGGGATGCGCTTTTGAGTCGACTCAAAAATGCCTCACAGAGTGCCTCCCAAGGAGAGTGAGAGGGAGAGAGGGAGGGTTGCCTCACCAGTTGTAGTCGGAGGGGCGCTGCAGCAAGCGCCTGTAGCCCCCTGGGATGCGCTCGATGGAATATTCCCTGTCATGCACCATGGGTGGTGGATGGGATGAGAGGGAGGGTAGGAGGGTAAGGGAGGGTTAGAGAGTGAGTTAGAGGGAGAGGAGAGGAAGGTTTGGCTTCCCATCGTGCACATGTAGCCCCCTGGGATACGCTCGATGGAATATTCACTGTCATGGCACCATGGGTGGTGGGAGGGATGAGAAGGAGGGTGGGAGGGTTGGTGAGAGGGTAAGTGAGAGGAAAGAATTGCCGTAGCCTCGAACGCTTGTAGCCTCGAACGCTTGTAGCCTCGAACGCTTGTAGCCTCGAACGCTTGTAGCCTCGAACGCTTGTAGCCTCGAACACTTGTAGCCCCCTGGAATGCACTCGATGGCATACACCCTGTGGCATGGATACATGCAGCAGGCATACACCCTGTGGCATGGATACATGCAGCAGGCATACACCCTGTGGCATGGATACATGCAGCAGGCATACACCCTGTGGCATGGATACATGCAGCAGGCATACACACATGCAGCAGGCATACACACATGCAGCAGGCATACACACATGCAGCAGGCATACACACATGCAGCAGGCATACACACATGCAGCAGGCATACACACATGCAGCAGGCATACACACATGCAGCAGGCATACACACATGCAGCAGGCATACACACATGCAGCAGGCATACACACATGCAGCAGGCATACACACATGCACGAGACCCAGAAGTCACTCACATGCCCAGCTGCTACAACTCTGCTCCACCTCGTGCTCAAAATGTCCAAAATCAATCAACAAGCCACTACTATCGGTGAGTAGTGGCTTGTTGGTTACCACACACACATGCCCAGCTGCTCCACCTGGGCACACTCCACCTGCAGCGTATGAGCGGGCGGTGCAGCGTATGAGCGTGGGTGCAGCGTGTGAGCGGGCGGTGCAGCGTATGAGCGTGGGTGCAGCGTGTGAGCGGTCAGTGCAGCGTATGAGCGTGGGTGCAGCGTGTGAGCGGGCGGTGCAGCGTATGAGCGGGCGGTGCAGCGTATGAGCGTGGGTGCAGCGTGTGAGCGGGCGGTGCAGCGTATGAGCGTGGGTGCAGCGTGTGAGCGGGCGGTGCAGCGTATGAGCGTGGGTGCAGCGTGTGAGCGGGCGGTGCAGCGTATGAGCGGGCGGTGCAGCGTATGAGCGGGCGGTGCAGCGTATGAGCGGGCGGTGCAGCGTATGAGCGTGGGTGCAGCGTGTGAGCGGGCGGTGCAGCGTATGAGCGTGCGTGCTGTGCTTTCTGGTGAAGAGGTCATTCAGTGCCGGCCTGTGGTGGAGACAGGGTCTTAAGGTGCGTCAAAAGTCATGCACATGCGCCACATACACACATGCATGTGTGACCTGCAACTCACTTGGCGCTGTGCTTGCTGGTGAAGAGGTCTATGCCGTCCTGTGGTGGAGGGAGGGTCTTGAGGTGCCTCAAAACTGATGTGACTCATGAACACACGCATATGCACAGATGCGGCACATGCATACATGCACTGCATCACTGGACCTGCAACTCACTTGACGCTGTGCTTGCTGGGGGGAGGTTCTTGAGGTGCCTCAAACCGCATGCACACATGCATGTGTGACCAACAACTCACTTGACGTTGTGCTTGCTGGTGTAGAGGTCTATGCCGTCCTGTGGTGGCGGAGGGACGCAGGGACGCACATACCCCGTCTTGTCACACAAGCAAGGCTGTACACCAGCATTTATACATGCAGACAAGCACGAGACTGAAAACTCACTTGACGCTGTGCTTGCTGGTGAAGAGGTCTATGCCGTCCTGTGGTGGAGGAGGGACGCAGGGAGAGGGGAAGCAGTGCAGTGGGAATATGGGAGGTGGGAACGAGCATGCTTATTCTTGAATGGACCGCCAAGGACTTGAACCAGAATGAACACATAAGCGACGTTAGTTTGGTACTTCTTTCCCACATACACATGGGGCAGGGAGGAGTGCAAGTTGGTTGCGAGAGAATAGACGAGGCGAGCTGGGGTGTTGGTGTGGAACTGAATGGTGTGCAGAGCCAGAGCCAGATACAGATACAGATACAGACACGTCTCAGTTTTGTTTTGAGACGTCTCAGAACTGAATGGTGTGCAGAGCCAGAGCCAGATACAGATACAATCCGTATCCGTATACCGATACCGATACCGATACCGATACCGATACCGATACCGATACCGATACAGATACAGGGACGGCGAACAGTTTTGAGACGTCTCAGTTTGTTTTGAGACGTCTCGTTTTGAGACGTCTCGTTTTGAGACGTCTCAGAACTGAATGGTGTGCAGAGCCAGAGACAGATACAGGGACGGTGAATACAGGCGCTAGCTAAAAGGCCAGGTGGAAAGGGAGGTGGAAGGGGATGTGGAAGGGGATGTGGAAGGGGAGGTGGAAGGGGATAGTGACAGTGGAGGGCATACCTTGGCGGCGAGAGAATGAAAGACTTCAGCAGTGGAGTTGGTGGGGTACTGAATGGTGCAGCTGACGGTGGGGAGGGAGGGAGAGAGAGGAAAGAGAGGAGAGAGTGGAAGGGCAAGCAAGGCGGGTGGTTCTATGAGTTGACGAAAAACACCTGAATGGGGCAGGGGAGGGAGGGGAGTGAGAGAGAGGATAATTGGGGGCAGGGAGGGGAAGAAAATGGAGTGGAGTGGACCAGACGTGGCAGTGCAGCCAGAATGGAATGTCAACCAGCGTGCGTGTCTGCTCTTGTTTGCCACCTCATGTGTGTGTGGGCGGAAGCACCCACCCACGCAGTGCCTTTTGAGTCGACTCAAAAGTCAGCTCGTTGAGTCGACTCAAAAGTCAGCTCGTTGAGTCGACTCAAAAGTCAGCTTGAGTCGACTCAAAAGTCAGCTCGTTGAGTCGACTCAAAAGTCAATCAGCGTGTGTGCCCTTGTTTGCCACCTCATGTGTGTGTGTGTGGGCGGAAGCACCCACCCACCCACGCAGTGCTGCTGCTACATGGGTTATGGTGATCTTTTGATCCAAACTGGCAGTGCTGCTGCTACATGGGTTATGGTGATCTTTGAGGCGCCTCAAAAGTCGTCTCAGTTCTCGCGGATTTTGCTGCTACTCCACTATGAGCCTGAATCGCAGTGCTGCATGGGTTATGGTGATCGGAAGGATGAGCATGCTAGCACAAAAGCCGAGTGTTTGTGAAGATATTCAAGTGGCGGCACTCACTCAGCTTTTGAGTCGACTCAAAAGGCACTCACTCACCCGGGCAGCGGCAGCACGACTTGGTCGATGGAGTACACCCCTCTCTGCGCTCCCCCCTTCAGTGAATTTGCAGGATCAGCAAGAGTGCAGGTTGTGCCTGAGAATACTCACGCCAAAGCACTCACTCACCCTGGCAGCGGCAGCACGACTTGGTCGATGGAGTAAACCCCTTTTTCTGCTTCCTCCTCACTCACCACCCTCACCTCCTCCCCCTCCGCCCTCGCTTCCACCGCCACTGCTGCCGCCTCCTCCGCCTCCGCCTCTGCGTCTGTGCCCCTCATGCCCGGCCCCTCTGCCCCCACGCCCGCTGCTCTCCCTGCTGCAGCAGCAGCAGCAGCAGCAGCACTAGCAGCTGTGGCAGCGGCAGTGGCAGCAGGAAGGGAGCAGATCACAAGGTCACCTGCCACCACTCGGGTGGAGCCTGCAGGGAAAGCAGAGGGGGGTGGTGGGGGGAGGAGAGGACACGCAGTTGATATTCACGTGGTGCAGTGCGGTGGTGGTGGGTACCGAGGGAGTGCAGAGCACAAGGACACCTGGTACCACTTGCGTGGAGCTTGCAGGGAAAGCAGAGGGGGGAGGACATGGAGGGAGTGTTCAGTGGTGCTGTGCGGTGGTGGTGGTGTGGAGGGGAGCAGAGCACAAGGTCACCTGCCACCACTCGGGTGGAGCCTGCAGGGAAAGCAGAGGTGGGTGGAGGGGGGAGGAGAGGATGTGTAGTGGGTATTCACGTGGTGCAGTGCGGTGGTGGTGGGTACAGAGGGAGTGCAGAGCACAAGGTCACCTGCTACGACTCGGGTGGAGCCTGCAGGGAAAGCAGAGGTGGGTGGTGGGGGGAGGAGAGGACATGGAGGGAGTGTTCAGTGGTGCTGTGCGGTGGCAGTGGTACAGAGGGGAGCAGAGCACAAGGTCGCCTGCCACCACTCGGGTGGAGCCTGCAGGGAAAGCAGAGGTGGGTGGTGGGGGGAGGAGAGGATGTGTAGTGGGTATTCACGTGGTGCAGTGCGGTGGTGGTGGGTACAGAGGGAGTGCAGAGCACAAGGTCACCTGCTACGACTCGGGTGGAGCCTGCAGGGAAAGCAGAGGTGGGTGGTGGGGGGAGGAGAGGACATGGAGGGAGTGTTCAGTGGTGCTGTGCGGTGGCGGTGGTACAGAGGGGAGCAGAGCACAAGGTCGCCTGCCACCACTCGGGTGGAGCCTGCACGGAAAGCAGAGGTGGTTGGAGGGGGCAGAACATGCAGTGAGTTTTCACGTGGTGCAGTGCGGTGGTGGTGGAAAAAGTGGGGAGCAGAGCACAAGGTCGCCTGCTACTACCACTCGGGTGGAGCCTGCATGCAGGGAAAGCAGAGGTGAGTGGAGGGGGAATGAATTGTGATACGTCTCAAAAGTTGAAGCGGGGAGGGCAGGACATGCAGCTTGTAAACACGTGGTGCAGTGCGGTGGTGGTGGGTACAGGGAGAGTGCAGAGCACAAGGTCACCTGCCACCACCCGGGTGGAGCCTGCAGGGAAAGCAAAGGCGGTTGGAGAGGGCAGGACAGGACGTGAAGCAGGGTGAACAGGGGTGCCATGAGGCGGTCGTCTAGTAAGACAGAGGAAGGGTGTGACATGTGTTAGAATTGCCATATACTAGCATGCTAACACTTGTGACTGTACACCAATTGTGGTGTACAGTTGGGTTGGGACTACACCCAACTTTGGGTGTAGTCTTGCATTTTGGGGTGCCAATCCAACCCAATTGTGGTGGAGCCCCCAAATGCAACCCAATGGGCCATAGGTTGGCCCACTCTCACAAAGTGATGGCCAACCCAACCCAATGGGCCATAGGTTGGCCCACTCTCACAAAGTGAGGCCAACCCAACCCAATGGGCCATAGGTTGGCCCACTCTCACAAAGTGATGGCCAACCCAACCCAATGGGCCATAGGTTGGCCCACTCTCACAAAGTGAGGCCAACCCAACCCAATGGGCCATAGGTTGGCCCACTCTCACAAAGTGAGGCCAACCCAACCCAATGGGCCATAGGTTGGCCCACTCTCACAAAGTGATGGCCAACCCAACCCAATGGGCCATAGGTTGGCCCACTCTCACAAAGTGAGGCCAACCCAACCCAATGGGCCATAGGTTGGCCCACTCTCACAAAGTGAGGCCAACCCAACCCAATGGGCCATAGGTTGGCCCACTCTCACAAAGTGAGGCCAACCCAACCCAATGGGCCATAGGTTGGCCCACTCCCCCAAGTGTGGCCAACCCAACCCAATGGGCCATAGGTTGGCCCACTCTCACAAAGTGATGGCCAACCCAACCCAATGGGCCATAGGTTGGCCCACTCTCACAAAGTGAGGCCAACCCAACCCAATGGGCCATAGGTTGGCCCACTCTCACAAAGTGAGGCCAACCCAACCCAATGGGCCATAGGTTGGCCCACTCTCACAAAGTGAGGCCAACCCAACCCAATGGGCCATAGGTTGGCCCACTCTCACAAAGTGAGGCCAACCCAACCCAATGGGCCATAGGTTGGCCCACTCCCCCAAGTGTGGCCAACCCAACCCAATGGGCCATAGGTTGGCCCACTCTCACAAAGTGATGGCCAACCCAACCCAATGGGCCATAGGTTGGCCCACTCTCACAAAGTGAGGCCAACCCAACCCAATGGGCCATAGGTTGGCCCACTCCCCCAAGTGTGGCCAACCCAACCCAATGGGCCATAGGTTGGCCCACTCCCCCAAGTGTGGCCAACCCAACCCAATGGGCCATAGGTTGGCCCACTCTCACAAAGTGATGGCCAACCCAACCCAATGGGCCATAGGTTGGCCCACTCTCACAAAGTGAGGCCAACCCAACCCAATGGGCCATAGGTTGGCCCACTCCCCCAAGTGTGGCCAACCCAACCCAATGGGCCATAGGTTGGCCCACTCCCCCATTCCCACCTCCCTCCTTTCCCTTCCAACCTTCTCTTCCCAAAGCTATGTATGCTTGCTAATTCTCTAATGAAGTTAATGCTTGAGTTTCCTTTCTTCACAACATGAAGTGCAGAGCCAGTGACAAAATCGGTATGTCTCACCATATGTCTTGATGCGGTGTGAGGCAGCATGGTTCCACAGATAGCTCTGATAGCTGTGCACGTACCTGGCATGGGGATGTTTGAAAGGGGAGGGGTGTGAAGGATGGGAGTTTCATGGTGAAGGGGAAAGGGGGGGAGTAAAAGAGGTTGCACAGATAGCCCTGATAGCTGTGCATGTACCTGGTCATGAGGAAGAGGGCAAGGGGGAAAGAGAGAGAAGGGGATGGTATGGTAGTTATCTTGAACCTGACAGCTGTGCACGGGGTTGAGAGAGAGGGGACTAACAAGGAACACACTCACAACTCATCAAGCCATCCACAGGTGACTCACATGAGGCGCATGGTGCGCGGGATGAAGCCCAGCGCCTGCACCAGATTGCGCGGGTTGCGCTTCAGCCCTGACAGCTGCCATGCAGATGGTGGAGGGGAGGTTGCGGGTGGGGAGACGGAAGGAGGAAGAGATTTAGAGGAGCTGAGAGGTATGCTGGGAGGTGTATGAGAGAGCTGACTAAGAAAGTGTATGGGGGAGAAGGGAGAGCGACAAGTGGTTTTGGAGCGAGAGGGAGAGAGCAGGAATGAACTGAGAGGGGGACGATGCGAGTGCGACTCACCACTCCTCGTTCAGCCACCATTCTGGTCGGCATGTGGATCATGGCAAGGTCGGCATCTTTTGTCTTCATCCACAGGCGTCTGGCCTCCGCCGCCCCTTCCGATTGTGGTGAGATGAACGGTCGAGAACAGAATCGAGTAGAGATATGTCACAGACACACGACATGACGTAAGGAGGTCAATATGATGTAAGGAGACCACACGAAAGAGTTTTTGGCGAGAGTTTTTTACTCTTGAGGCACCACATTCATAAAAGGCAGCAGCGCACAGCACTGCAGAGCATGGCATGAGCGGATATTTCCATCCCCGGGGGTTTAAGCAGAAAATCCACAGCGGGGCAAGGCAAGAAAAGGCAAGGAAAGGCAAGGGCAAGGGATCAAGGCAAAGCATGGGCGAGCATGGCAAGGCGAGGCAAGGGAAGGCGAGGAAGGTGAGAGAATATCTCCGTCTCTGTGTTTGAGCAGCAGCTCAACGGCGGGGCAAGGCAACGCAAGGCAAGGGAAGGCAAGGGATCAAGGCAAAGCATGGGCAAGCAAGGCGAGGCGAGCGAGGCAAGGCGAGGAAGGTGAGAGGATATCTCCGTCTCGCGGTTTGAGCAGGAGGTCAACAGCGCCCTGCCAGTCACCCCTCAGCAGCGCTGCTCCCACCGAGTGCGTCGCCACCGGACCCACTCCAAACCGCTGCTCACATGCCGATCAGAATGGCCAGGCCAGGAGGGGGCGCGAGTCAGGAGGAGTGAGGATGAGGGGTGTGCAGAGAAGTGAGCTCCTCCCTTCTCCCACCGTGTGCGTCGCCACCGACCCTACTCCAAAGCACAGCGGTATGGCCCGCGGTCATTAAAGTGATTTTTTAGGCGCCTCGAAAATCACCTCAATGCAGCGGTATGGCCCCAGGCCAGACCGCTGCTCACAGGAGGGCAAAGTGGGGCAAGAGGTTTTCGAGGCTAGGTGGATATGGGGGTTAAACTAAAAGTCGCGTCACTGGTGGTGGGGAGGGAAGAGGGGAGGCAGCACCCAGCAGCAACCAGCAGTACCCAGCAGTACCCAGAGTCACAGCACCCAGCAGCAACCAGCAGTACCCAGCAGTACCCAGAGTCACAGCACCCAGCGGTATGCACCTGCACCCAGCAGCACCCACCTGAAGGCCAAAGTAGTTAATGATGCCATGAGAGCGAAGGCCCTCTGCTGCTGCTGTGATGGCGTCTAGACTGGGCGCTCTCACGGCCCTGGGGAGCAGGAGGGGCAGGTGAGGGGAGGAGGCATGGGGGGCAGGGCGAGGAGGTGGACCAGCAGAAACAGAGCAGCGAAGAGGGGGTGGGTTAAAGGCTCACACGATGGCGCCTGGAGTGCTGCTGCGGGGTTGGCGTGCATGGGTAGCCCACAGCAGCGCTACAACCACTGGTCGCAGCGAGTGATTGCCTGCCACACACCGCAGCCCCACACCGCAGCCCCACACCGCAGCCACACACCGCAGCCACACACACACACATGGAAACCCACCTGTCGTGAGGAGGAAGCGACTGTCTGCAAGCTGCCCCCCCACAAGAGTGTGGTCCACAAGGCGGTAGGTAGTTGTGGGTTGTGGGGGAGAGGAGAGGTGCTGGTGAGAATTCTAACATCCCACCTGAACGTGACGACGAAGCGGTTGCCCGCAAGCTGCCCCAGCACACGGGGCTGGTCCACAAGGCGGTAGTGGCCCACTCGGATGCCAAACAGCTTGGCGTTGAGGGGGTGGCGGGGTGGCGAGAATTCTCTTAACTCTCACCTGAGGGTGACAAGGAAGCGGTTTCCAGCCTACTGCTCCACAACGTAGTAGTCATGAGTGGGAGGGAGGAAGGGGGCACCCACCTGAGAGTGACAACGAAGCGGTTTCCCGCCAGCTGCCCCAGCACGAGAGGCTGGTCCACAAGGCGGTAGTCGCCCACTCGGATGCCAAACAGCTTGGCGTTCAGTGATGCCACCTTGCGCGCCGACTGGTTGCTCACTGTCACCTGGTGAAGTGTGAGTGGTGAGTGGCGGTGGTGGGGTGTGGACTGTGGTGAGGCATGTAGGGAGGGTGGCGGTAGTCGCCCACTCCGATGCCAAACAGCTTGGCGTTGAGTGATGCCACCTTGCGCGCCGACTGGTTGCGCACTGTCACCTGGAGGGGAGGGGAGGAGTGCGGGTTATTATGACAAGAGTCTGAAGCTTTGACCCGTCACATTGGACATGTCAATTTCACTGCAAGCACCCGTGTCAAGAACCCACCCGCTGCACTCCCCTCGCACCCACCCACCCGCTGCACTCCCCTCGCACCCACCCACCCGCTGCACGGTGACAGCGCGCTTGTCCTTGGTGCCTGAGAAGCCCAGCGCCCTGCTCTGCACGCCCAGGTAGCGCATATGGGCCTGACTATCAGCACCCGTCCCAACTCTCCCAATTCCCTGCAACCACTCTGAACCCACCCACCCGCTCTGCACCCACCCGCTGCACTCCCCTCGCACCCACCCACCCGCTGCACGGTGACAGCGCGCTTGTCCTTGGTGCCTGAGAAGCCCAGCGCCCTGCTCTGCACGCCCAGGTAGCACATATGGGCCTGACTATCAGCACCCGTCCCAACTCTCCCAATTCCCTGCAACCACTCTGAACCCACCCACCCGCTCTGCACCCACCCACCCGCTCTGCACCCACCCGCTGCACGGTGACGGCACGCTTGTCCTTGGTGCCTGAGAACCCCAGCGCGCGGCTCTGCACGCCCAGGTAGCGCCCCACGAGCGCCATGGCCTCGTTGGTGTCCTTGTTCTCCTTCAACACGTGGAACCTGGTGGGGGGATGTTTGGTGGGGGGGTTAGGATGGGACGGTTAGGAACCGATGAGGACGGGCAGGAGGTGAGCCTGTGGTGGTCTGGTCACCCCACCAGTGCCATGGCCTCGTTGGTGTCCTTGTTCTCCTTCAACACGTGGAACCTGGTGGGGGGATGTTTGGTGGGGGGGTTAGGATGGGACGGTTAGGAACCGATGAGGACGGGCAGGAGGTGAGCCTGTGGTGGTCTGGTCACCCCACCAGTGCCATGGCCTCGTTGGTGTCCTTGTTCTCCTTGGTGACCTTTGAGCACCTTTGAGCACCTTTGAGCACCTTTGAGCACCTTTGAGCACCTTTGAGCACCTTTGAGCACCTTTGAGCACCTTTGAGCACCTTTGAGCACCTTTGAGCACCTTTGAGCACCTTTGAGCACCTTTGAGCACCTTTGAGCACCTTTGAGCACCTTTGAGCACCTTTGAGCCCCTTTGAGCACCTTTGAGCACCTTTGAGCACCGTTGAGCACCGTTGAGCACCTTTGAGCACCTTTGAGCACCTTTGAGCACCTTTGAGCACCTTTGAGCACCTTTGAGCACCTTTGAGCACCTTTGAGCACCTTTGAGCACCTTTGAGCACCTTTGAGCACCTTTGAGCACCTTTGAGCACCTTTGAGCACCTTTGAGCCCCTTTGAGCACCTTTGAGCACCGTTGAGCACCGTTGAGCACCGTTGAGCACCGTTGAGCACCTTTGAGCACCTTTGAGCACCTTTGAGCACCTTTGAGCACCTTTGAGCACCTTTGAGCCCCTTTGAGCACCTTTGAGCACCTTTGAGCACCGTTGAGCACCGTTGAGCACCGTTGAGCACCTTTGAGCACCTTTGAGCACTTTTGAGCACCTTTGAGCACCTTTGAGCACCTTTGAGCACCTGGAATTCGGGGGGGAGAGGGAGGGGAGGGGGGAAGGTAAAGGAAAACGTATACTTGTTAGCGTGTATGCGTGCATGCGTGCTTGTGTGCATGCGTGCTTGTGTGCATGCATGTATCAAGCGAGCCAAACTCACCCCAATGCACCCAACCCATACCACGCACATGAGGAAGCGGCGCTCGGTGGTTGCAGGCACCCCATCCGCGCCCTTCCTCCCCCTCCTGTCAAACGCCGGCTGATCCTCCTCCCCCTGATCCCTCCCCTGTCCCCCCCCCTCTCCGCCATCCCCCCCTTCCCCCCTATGCGCCCCATCACCATCACCACCACCATCGCTCCTCCCTCTCTTCCTATCCCCACCCTCCCACTCCTCCCTCCCGCGCTTCCCCCACTTCCCGCCCCTTCCCCCTCTCTTTCCCCCCCAGCGCCCCTCCCGCCACCCCCTCCCGTCCCCGCCCCTCTGCCCCCCTTCCCCCCGCCCTCCGCGCTCCCCTGCGCGCCCCCCTGCGCCCTTGAGGTTGAGGGCGGGCGGGGGGAGGAAGCGCAGGCGCACACAGCGGTAGGGGGGCCCCTGGGGGGCGTCGATGGTGTCGGATACGAGATAAGGATATGCCTTGATGAACGCGTGCATGGCCTGGTGGGGGAAGAGGGGGGGAGTGGTGGGTGGAGGAAGAGTAGCGAGGGAAAGAAGGGAGGTTAGAGCATGGCAGGGCAGGGCCTGCCCTACTGGGCCTTGGGGGTTGTCTATCGTGTGCGAGACAAGAAAGGGGTATGACTTGAAGAACGCGTGCATGGCCTGGTGGTGGGTGGGAGGGAGTGGTGCGGGAAGGAGAGAGCCTGACATGGCTTGCTTTGCCTCTAGACCAATGTAGGCTGGGAAGAGTGGGGAGGCCAGGGACTGCTTTGCTTGGCCTGGGGGGGCGTCGATGGTGTCGGATCGGATAGCCCTGAGGGTAGGAGGAGTAGCCCTTGGTGAGTAGCCCTGGTGCTTTTGAGAATTCTAAACAGGCCTGGTGGCAGAGAGGGGGGGAGGGGGGAAGCAGAGCGCGAGAAGAGGAGAAACCTGAGAAACTGAAAATTGTTCAGATTACTCTACACTGGGAAAAGAGCGTGGGGGTGCGGAAGGGGGGGGGGGAGAAGGGGGGGGAAGGGAATGGGGAAGTGGTGGGTCGCACGCAGTCATGACAAGCCATGGCTACGGCACATGGAGATACACGCAGCCATAGACATGGCTTGTCATGCCAGTCACAGCACAGTACACGCCTTGTCACTCATGGCACGGGCCCTCCCAATCCCGTCCAGCCACGTCAGCCACTCACAGCACGGTACGCCTTGTCAGCACTGGCAGCAAAGACCACCGGCTCAGGCATAGGCGGAGGAGCACCTCCCCCCGCCTCCGCTCCCTCCCCCACCTCCCCCACCTCCCCCACCTCCCCCCCTTGCACGCTTCCCTCCGCCCTTTCTCCCCCAGCACCCTCCTCTCCTCCCTCCTTCTCTCCCTCCTCGCCTCCCCTCTTCTTCTCTTTCCACCACAGCTGAATGCCCCTAATCCCTTCCAGCAGCTGCAGCAGCTTCCTCGCATCTTCCTCATCGCGCAACCCCCCTCCCCCTCCCCCTTCCCCCTCCGCGCTCCCCCCCAGCGCCCGGCGGAGCTGCGCCAGCACCCCCTGCGCGTCCACCAGTTCCCCCAGGCTCTCCGCCTCGCGCCTGCGCGCCTGCTGCTGCGCCTGCTGCTCCTGCACCAGCAGCGCGGGGGCCACGTGCAGGTGCGTCAGATGCACCACTGTGCCATCGGGTGCCACCTCGTTCACTATAAAGTCCGCGAACCTGCCAAGACGGGCATGGGGAGAGAGGGGAGGGAGGGGGAGGGGGAAAGCAGAGGGGGCTGGATGTGCTGCGCCTGCGCGCCTGCTGCTGCGCCTGCTGATCCTGCGCCAGCAGCGCGGGGGGCACATGCAGGTGCGTCAGATGCACCACCGTGCCATCCGGTGCCACCCCGTTCACCTTTGTTTGAGCACGCCGTGAATGCTGGGCAGGTCGTTGGCATAGCAGCGTATGCCCACTGACTCCTCCCCGCCCACCCTCAGCACACCCCCAGCACAGCCACGCCTCACCTCTGTTTGAGCACGCCGTGAATGCCGGGCAGGTCATTGGCGTAGCAGCATATGCCCACCGACTCCTCTGTCGCCGCCATTCGCTCCCAATCCTCTCCGCACTCCCCTTCTTCCCCCTCCTCTCCGCCTTCCCCCTCTCCGCCCTCCTCTCCACCCTCCTCCTCTCCGCCTTCCCCTTCTCCACTTACCCCCTCCGCACTCTCTTCCCCGTTTCCTCCTTCGTCCCTTGCAGTCCCCTCTCCCCGGAACCCTGTACCCTCTCCCTCCTCTCCCGCAGCTTCCCTACGCCTCTCCTGAATTCCCTTCGCCGGTAACGCGAGTGCTCCAGGCGCGCTTTCCGCTTCCGCTGCGCCTCCTGCTTCCGCGGTTGCGGAGAGGCGGATCCGCCACGAGCGGAATGCGCCAAAAGGGGCGGGTGGGGAATTGCGGATTGCGCCCACGCGAGAGGCGGCGGAGGCGGGAGGGATACGGGGAAAGGGCTGCCACGTGCGGAAAGTTATACGGGCGGAGAGGGAAAGGCGGAAAGTGGGATTGAGCGGGGGATTGCGGAGGCGAACGCGGAAGGGAGGGGGAAATGCGCGGGGCGAATGGGCCTGCCGAAGAGCGCGCGACGGGGATGGTGGCGATTAGTGACATAAACACTCGCGGGATGCGAGATTTCAAGCGGTCAATGGCGACAGACGGCGACGATTGCGACACAGAGTAAGCAGATTCCTGCTATCGCTCTGCTGTGGGAGCAGGCTGGGTTCAACCAGAGCACTTGAGAAATTTGGGCTGGCTGGGGTGGAAAGAGGGGCCTTTTGCGCACGCGAGAACCAATGTGCTGGGGTTACCAAATTCGCCCAGTGTCGTAAAGTTATGGCCAGCAAGTCAGCTTGTGAGGAGAATTTTCAGTAGTACAGTTGTCTAGAGCATTCTTCAACAACTCTTATCAATTATCCTAAGATTAAGTAGCTTCGCATTTTGTTGTACAGGTCTAATGAATGCTTCTGTATCATGTGATCACCACACGTGATCCTCGTTAGTATTTCTGAGCTTTTATCGCGCGAGACGCAGTGGCGGCGCTCGACAGTCAATTTCAATCTCGATATAAGAACACGAGGTATAAGATGAACATCCTCGCCCCGCCGCTAGCATGCTTCCCGTCCCACAAATGCACGCGCAGCTATGTTTTTTTGCGCGCGCAGGGACATTGTCCCCTCGCCAGGAACTGCCTTCCCAAACCCGCGCGTGAGCCAACTGCGCAGCGAAAACAGGCAATCCCACCCAAGGGTGGATATAACTTCCAACTCCTTACCATACTAAATCGCACTGTCCCGCTTTCAGTCCATCAGAGCCATGCACAACATACAGGAGCCGATCACATAGGCTTTTCTTTCCCCGAACCTCCCTCGCCTCCCCAACCTCCCGTTTGAGGTTGCTTCCGCCCGCTCCTTGAACAGTCAAGCAGCTGTTTACGGTGCAGAGAGTAGTCCCTGCAGTGCAGGGGGATAGGTGCACCGGAATCATGGTCACAGTAGGGGCTAAATAGGTGTTCTACTGTTCCATTCTGGCACGACAACTGTTATTTATGGACATTCTCTCTCTAACCAACTGGCGTTAGAATACTTAGCCGCCTAGTAGCGAGATCCTGTAGGACCGTCAGTTGCGCTGATTTACCTCAACATTAGTAGAAATAATTTTCGCCATTGATCATGGCAGCTGCTTCGTTACAATCCCCTTCGTTACCCGCGTTACTGAATCGCGTCGGCGAGCTACACGAAGAAGTGAGCGACGCGATCGAGCGCAGCCTCCAATGCGACTTCTTCCTCTCGACCTCCACTGCCGGTACCGTCGCCGCCGCCACCGCCGCCGCCGCAGATTGCGCTTCTGCGGAGTCTTCCCCCTCTGGACCGCTGGTGGCTTCTCGGTATGGAAAAGACGCGTCGTTTCCCTGGAATTTACTCAGTTTAGCAATCCTTTTTAGTTGCACAATTTAGGTTATTCGGTCCAAATAAGGTTCATCATTTGTTCACTTATTCCGTTTCATATGCATCGAGTAACACGTGGCACTAATTTTAGCTCCTATACCCGCCCTGTGATTCTTCCGTTATCTCATTCAATGCGCCCCCTTGCAGTTTCCATCATTGTTTCCGGCCATTCCCTCAGCGACCTTGTAGTTGCCATTGTCACTTCACCAGTCTCCCTGTTCCTTACACATGTTTCTCCCGTTTCCTTATTCTTGTCGGCCCTACACACTGAACTCTCCAATTTCTCTGCACAGGCTGTCGCAACAGGACACGCCCACCAAAAACTCTAGTAGCGGGGATAAGTCTAGCGGGTCTGGAAGCAACACAAGCTCCCCCTCCTCTTCCTACCAACGCGCCTATGAAAAACATGTCGAGTCTGCCCGGAAGGCCGGGCAGGACGAAAACATTCAATCCGGGCAGGGAAGCGCCGAGGCGCGGATGCTGATTGCGCTCCGCGACGCGCTGGAGATGCTTGAGTGGCACCTGGACCAGCTGCTACAGTGCGAGGAGTCGCTGCAGGAGAAACTTCAGGTGAAACAACAGAAGACGCAGCAACAGATAAACCATCTGCGCGCGCCGCAGCGGCAGGGGCGCAGGGCGAGCGCGGGGAAATCCGGGGCGCGGGGAATCAACGCCGCCGCCCTCGCGGCCGCTGCGGCTGCCAGAGCGGCCGCGGCGGCTGGAGCTGCGGCGGGCTCCGCGGAGGGGGAGCGCGAGGCGGAGGCGGAGGCGGCGGCGCAGTGGGCGCAGATGGTGACGGAGTTAAAGATGGCGGCGCGCATAGTGGAGTCGCAGGGGCGGTGCCACCAGGGGCGCGAGGCGGAGGTGGTTGCGCGCATTCAGCAGCTGGCGGAAGACGTTGACCTGGAGCCCTTCCCCTTCCCTTCCGCCCTTGCCGCTCCGCACAACCAGTTCCTGCAGCAGCAGCAGCAGCAGCATAAGTTATTCTCTTCTTCCGCCTTCTCCCCCTTATCCGCCGCCCCGCTCCCCGCGTTGCTCCCTGCTCACGTGCCCTCCCCCTCTTCCTCCCCCTCCTCCCTCCTCCCCCAACCCCTCACTCCCGCGCAAGGCCCTGCCGCTGCGCCGTACTCCTCCGCACATCCCTTCTCTCCCTCCCCCTCCCCCTTCTCCGCTTCCGCGCTCTCCCCTCCCCCCTCGAAGGAAGCTTCCATGCAACTTCCGCCATATTACCAACACCCGGAAGTCGCAGTGATGGGCGGAGGGGCGGTGGCGGAGGGGGAAGACTCCGAGGGGGACAGCCCCACGAGCGGGCAGGTCGGGCAGAATCACTGGGAGGCGGGTAGGCCGCCGGTCAGGAGAAAAATATTCGGGCAAGATTCGGAGAGCGAGGAGGAGAGTGAGGAAGAGAGTGAGGGAGAGACTGAGGAAGAGAGTGAAGGAGAGAGTGAGGGAGAGAGTGATGGACAGAGCGAGGTAGAGGGGGAGGGCGAGAGTGCGGGTGCGGGACATGCTGCCACTGACCCGGGCAAGTCTGAAGCGCCGAAGAAGCATGCGACTGACGCCCTTGGGGGTGGGGAGGGGGGTGGGGAGGGAGGCAAGGAGGGAGGTGAGGAAGAGAAACCAACTGATGATTATTTAGCTGTTGAGACTCTAGATGCGCCTTCTGCTGTTGCAACTGCTTCTGGTGTTGCTGCTGCCATTGCTGGTGGTGGTGATGTGAGTGATGGAGCTGGCGTGACTACTGATCTGACTCATGCTGACGTGACTGATGCTGACTCATCTGGCGCCACTGCTGCCAGCTCTGCTGTGCCCGCTAACCCTCTCACCCCTGCTGCTCATGCACCTGACTCTCTTGACTCCCTTGACTCTGCTGACTCTGCTGACTCTGTTGACTCCGTTGACTCCGTTGACTCTGGTGCTGCTAAGGCGAGTGACTGTGCTGCTGTCACGGCAACTGACGCCACTGAGGCTGCCTCCGCTGACGCTACTGCTGACGCTGCTGACAGTTTAGACGCGCACGCTGCTGCTGCCACTGCTGACGCTGCTGCTGCCACTGCTGACGCTGCTGCTGCCACTGCTGACGCTGCTGCTGACACTGTTGCTTCCACGAACGGCGTCCCTGCAGCACCTGCTCCCATCGACCCCCCCTGTGCTGCCACTGCTGACGCCTCTCTTCCTGCTGCCGCTGCTGCCACTGTCGCGGCTGACTCCTCTGCTGCTCACGCGTCTCCTGATTCCATTGCTTTACCCACATCACCACTGGCCGAGCCTGCACACGCCGCTCCAAGCCAGCTCCCCTCAGTTCAACCGCCCTCAGATGAGCCCTCCTCGGGTCTCACCTCTTTGGCTGACCCCTCGTCAGCCGATTCTCTTCCGCAGTCCCCACCTGACTCTCTTCCCTCCCCTCCCGTACCCCCACTAGAAGCCTCTCCGATACACTCACGCCAGCCTCTACCAGACCAAGCTGTGCCGAACCTGGCTGCCGAACCTGACTCGCAGCCTGAACAGCAGGTCGGACAGCAGGTCCGGAACCAGCCGAACCAGAGCTGGGCTCTCCAGCCGATCAACCAGGTTCGGGCTCTCACTCGTGTGGCGACTGGCGGTGCTAAAGCCATTGAGATGGTGGTGGGGAGGGTGGCCCGCCTCTCCTCCTTTCTCCTCCACCCCATGACTCTCAGCCTTGGCGGGCTTGTTGGTGTCTCCCTTGGGATTGCCGCTGCCACGTCAGCAAGGAGGGAGAAGGGGGGTGGGCATTGGGGGGTGGTGAGGAGAGGGGTGTTGGGAGCACTGCCAAGGCCGGGGGCTGAGACTGCTGTTGCTTGGAGGGAGGAGGAGAGGGAGCGGGAGAGGGAGAGCGAGAGAAAGAGGGAGGAGGAGAAAGCGTGGGAAGTTGAAGCGTGGGAATTGGACGAGAGGTTGTGGGCAGCAGCGGGGGATTGGGGAGAGGGAGACGGGTCGTTTGGATTGAGAGGTTTGGATGAGGAGGAGGGTTATGGGAGCATTGGGGAGGCGGACGAGGAGGAAGAAGAAGAGTCAGAAGAGGAAGAGGAAGAGAAGGAAGAGGGGGATGGTGTGTGGGGCGTGAGTGGTGGTTCAGGCGAGGGTGAAGGGAAGAGCGAGGGGGAAGGGGTGCAGGAGCGGGGCGGGGGTTTACTCGCATTCTTGCAGGGGGAAATGAGGCGACTTAAAGGGGAGTCGGACGAGGCAGGTGGGGTGAGCAGAGGAGGAAGCGAGGAGAAGGGAGGGAGGGGTGGGGCAGCGTGGGGGGCAGGGCAGGCAGGGGCGTATGCTGCTGCAGTTCTGGAACGACTGAGGGAGGAGGTGCGCGTGAGAGAAGAGGAACTGGCGAGAGTGAAGGCGAGGGGTGAGGAGCTTGAGAGAGTGGGGATGCGAGAGCTGCAGCTGCTGCAGGGGCAGTGGGGAGAGGTGGGACCGGCGGATGGAGGGGAGGAAGGGGAGGCAGGAGGGGAGGAGACAAGGGAGGAGGGAGGGGAGACGACAGGGGAGGAGAGAGGAGAGGAGGGAGGGGAAGGGAAAGGGGAGGGGAAGGGGAAGAGGGCAGGAGGGGGGTTTGGAGTGCATGTGGATGATCCCCTGCTGGCTGCTGTTCTGAGAGACCTCTCCGTGTGCCCGGTTGACTCTGCTGCTGCTGCTGGTGCTGGTGCTGATGGTGCTGGTGATGATGATGTGGGTATCACTCCGTTGCCGCGGTTGAACATCAGCAAGCCCGAGGGAGAGTGGGACCACCAGCAGGAGCAGCAGCGGCGCAAGAAGCCTCAAGGCGGCTTTGAGCGAGAGTGGGATGGAGTGAGCAGCCTTAACAAGCCAAGCTCTGATGCATGTGCTGCTGCTGGTGGGGGTGACTTCAGGGATTGTGGAAGCTTCTTGGAAGCAGCACAGGGCTGGCTGGAGAAGGTTCAGGAGGGGAGGTCCCAGATTGACAGTCAGATGCTCAAAGCGGGCGGCACACTGCAAAAGGCGGGCGGCACACTGCACAAGGCAGGTGCGGCACTTCTTGATGCGCCTCGGAACACCATCCATGCTGCAGGCCAGGCGCTTCCGAACGTGATTCCGAGCCTGCTGCCTTGCGTCGCTCGCAAGTACGAGAGGCTGAAGAGGCGCGGATGGGTAGGGGTGCTGCGAGGAGGGGCCAGCGGCGAGGGCAGGGAAAAGGAACGGGGCGGGTGCACGGATGAAGCACAGCAGGCACGAGACAGCACTGCGAACAGTAATGCTGTGCAAAGCAGCTCTTCTAGTGTGTCTTCGCGCACTGAGGCACATGGAGTGAATGGGGCACATGGAGTGAATGGGGCACCTGGTGTGATGATGGTCCCGGGTGTTGCAGCAGGGGGGGCAGGGCATGGAGGAGCGGATGGGTTCTGGACAGATCTGAAGGAGAAGGCCCGGCAGTTGAGCGTTGGACGGAAGAGAGGGAGGGAGTGAGCGAGTGAGACACCTGCTGTGGTGTTCCCAAGTGTTGCATCAGGAGGGTGCAGGCCATGGAGAGGTGGGGATGGGTTCTGGACAGATCTTGCAGAGAAGGCTCGGCAGTTGAGCATTGGAAGGAAGAGAGGGAGGGAGTGAGGAAGTAGGGTGAGTGGTTGAGTCAACTCAAAGCTCTGTTGCTGCAGTAGGGGGGGCAGGGCATGGAGGTGGAGATGGGTTCTGGACAGATCTGAAGGAGAAGGCCCGGCAGTTGAGCGTTGGACGGAAGAGAGGGAGGGAGGGAGCGAGGGAGGCACCTGGTGTGGTGGTGGTCCCAGGTGTTCCAGCAGGGGGGACAGGGCATGGAGGAGGGGATGGGTTCTGGACAGATCTGAAGAAGGCTCGGCAGTTGAGCATTGGAAGGAAGAGAGGGAGGGAGTGAGGAAGTAGGGTTAGTGGTTGAGTCAACTCAAAACTCAGCTGTTGCAGTAGGGGGGTCAGGGGTCAGGGCATGGAGGAGGGGATGGGTTCTGGACAGATCTGAAGGAAAAGGCTCGGCAGTTGAGCTTTGGACGGAAGAGAGGGAGGGAGTGAGTGAGTGAGGGAGTGAGAGTTGTTGATGCTTGTCTGTTCTGCTCTTTATGTTGACTCTTCTCCCTGTCTACGAGTGTTAGCTGTGTGAAGTGTGCCTGCTTGCAGATTTTCATTTTGTTCTTTTTCCCTTGTTCTCATGTGTGCATGCTTTTCCTACTGTGTTCCCCCACGCTCCCCTTTGTTGGGCTGAGAAAAGCCCTTAGGATTGTTTTCAAGACTAAGACTCAGAGTAACGATGTATTAGCGGAAGCGTCTTAGTGAACTGATTGAACCACCTTGCACTGGTATGTGAGAACAAGATAAGTTTATAATAGCAAAGAGATACAAAGCTTTATATGATTACAAAGGAATATGAAAGGTTTAACTAACTGTAACTGCTGTTGCGCTTCGATACAGCGACGACTCGGGTAACTGTTCAATAGTGAGTCAGTTATGTGTCCTTGGTGTCGCGCTGTTTTTCGGCGAGTCAAAGGTTGCTGACCTTTGACATTCACTTAACCTCTTGCTGTTGCCTTTCTGTCAACCGCTTTGGTTGACTCGCTGTTGCTTCGTAGTAGTTCGCTTCGCATACGTTGTAGTGTTCGACACATCAGAAGCGCGAACTAAATGTTTCCAACACTCCCCTTCGCTTCTGGAGTGTCATCGCCTTCGTTGCTGGTGACGTGGCCTTGTCCAGTCAGTAGCATGCAGTACTCAAACTTCTGCTTTCCGAGTTTCTTGGTCAAGCAATCTGCTGCCATCTCGGGCGTGGGGCAGTAAGATAGCTCGAGTTTCCCTTTCTCGATCCCGTCCTTCACGAAGAAATAGAGCATGGCAATGTGCTTCGTTCAGTTCGCGAACCCGCTCTTGTTCGCTATGCGAATTGCAGATTGGTTGTCACAGAAGAGGGAGAAGTTGGGTAAGTGGGCCAGCTTTGCTTCTTCCAGTAGTTCGCGAAGGTACAGTCCTTCCTTGGTGGCTGAGCAGAGTGCTATGTATTCAGCTTCAGCAGAGGAGAGAGCAATTAGTTCTTGCTTGCTCGACTTCCACGAGATAGGACCGACGGGCTCGATTCGATAGATGTACGGTAGCCGGTGCGTGATCGCCTGTTATCGGAATCGCTTGCGTGGTCAGCATCCACGTAGCCGATAAGCTTTGGAGTAGTGGTTCCGGTCTTGTGGTAGGTTAGGTTGATCGTTGGTGTGCTGACGAGGTAGTGTAACGCGCGGTCGAGTTCTGCCATATGCTCTGCTTCGGCCCGCTTGAGGTAGGTGGCAAGTTGGCTCGCCGAGTATGACAGATCCGGTCGGCAGGTGACGGCTGCGAAGAGCAGACAGCCCAGTTTTCATTGGTAGTCGTGTAGGCCGGTAGGTCCAAGCGGATTGGATTTTTCCTGGTGATTTCCCGCGGTGTAGCGATAGGGCGTGGGGATAGCAGTTGGCGTCAGTCCGAAGCGTTTTGCGATGGTGTCGGCGTATTTTGCGGCGTTGAGATAGATTGCGTTTTCTCCGTCAATAATGTTGAGTCCAAGGTACTGAGTTACGGTAGAAGAAACCGTGAGTGAGAGATCCTGTTGCAGCTCCCCTTCAAACCAGTTGGTGATGTCGTCGGTGGAGCCTATGTAGAGCAGGTTGTCTACATACACGATGAGCAGAATGTATTCGGCTTCCTTTGTGAGTCTGTACATGCCCTGGTCGTGTGGTAGTTGCTGAAAGCTGATGCGGATTAATCGGGCGTGTAGGTACTGCTGCCACAGCCGCGGAGCTTGCTTGATGCCGTACAGGGACTTCAGTAGCTGACAGACTTGATTAGGGTCTGTATTGGATCCGTGTGGTTGCTCGACAAAGATTTCGGCGTCGACGGGAGCGTAGAGAAACGCGTTAGCCACGTCGAGTTGGCGGAGCTTCTTCCGCTTCATGGCGGCTATCGCGAGGAGGATTCGCAGAGACCTATGTCGGCTGACTGGCGCAAAGGTTTCGGTGAAGTCCCGTCCGTGTTCTTGGTCGAAGCCACGCACGACCCATCGTGCCTTGAATTTGTCAATTGTTCCATCGGCTTTCGTCTTCACGCGGAAGACCCATTTTCCCGTGAGAATGGTTTTGTTGCGTGCCACTCCGATGGGTACTATCTTCCAGGTGTTTCTGTCTTCCAACGCTTTTAATTCCCTGTCCATGGCTTCGCGCCATTTTTCCCTATGCTCCCCCCCCCCATAGCCTGCTGAACCGTAGCAGGCTCTCGCGGCATTGGTGCGCCATGGACTGCGGTGACGAGCCCAAGAATCTGCAGCCCACTCTGTGTGTAACGAGGGAGATTTGGGTCCTCGGGATAAACTGCTTCGTCTCCCGCTTCTGGATAAGGTAAGAAGTTGGGGCCCATGCAATCTGAAACGTCTGTATTGACTGGCTGGGGTGTAACGTAACCATTGTCGGTGAAGTCGTAGTAGACTTCGGCGTTGATGCTTTCGCGAGGATTTTCGTTGTCCATCGGAACAGGTACTAAGCAGTAGGGAAGAGGTCCGGCTTCCTTGGATGCTCCGTCCACGTTTTGCTCATCCCAGTCAGCCTCATCTGCTGGTGTGGCGAAGGCTCGGTTGCTACGGAAGCCGCCTGTGAGGTCTCGTTCTGCTGCCAAGTTGTCGAGGTGCGTTTGAAGAGTGAGTCGTTCGTAGAAAATCACGTCACGTGCTGCTGCTGTTTCTTTTGAGTGGATGTCGAAGATTTTCCACGCCTTGTAGTGTTTTTCGATGCCCAGGTGTAGTCCCCACTGTGAGCGTTGTGAGATTTTCCAGCTCGTGCAGTGTGTGGTCGGTATTGTACCATGCAGCCAAAAACTCGTAACATTTTTGTGTTGCCCAATTTTCCTGTCCACAACAACTGCGGTGATGCGTTGTTCAGAAGCGAGGATGACGAAAGCAAGTTGTGCAACAGCACAGCGTGGTCCATCGCCTCAGGCCATTGATGGTTGGGTAGTCGCATTGTCAGAATGTTATAATGCTTACAGTTGTGTAGGCTATAGTGGGGTAGCCCATAAGGGGTACAACTCAATTAGGGTTAGTACTTGTACCCAAATCTTTCATAGTTCATTCATTCTCGTTCATTCTTCTGACATGGTTTCAGAGCAGGTCCTTCGCTAGGACCGTTTTTTTTTTCCTTGGGCCCACCACAGCGCTACCCTGCTAACCGCCCTCTGCAGCCCTCGTGCTGCCCCTACTGCCCGTCGCGACCCGTAGGCCCCTAGGCACCGGCCCGTAGCCCGTCGCCCGTAGGCCCGTCGCCACTAGGCCCGTAGCCTTGGCCCGTTGCCCCGGCCCGTCGACACCCGGCCCGTCGCCCTAGGCCAGTCGCCCCGGCCCGTCGCCCCTAGGCCCGTCGCCCTAGGCCCGTCGCCCCGGCCTGTCGCCCCTAGGCCGGCCCATTGCCACCCCTAGCCCAGCCCGTTGCCCCTAGGCCCGTCGCCCCGGCCCGTCGCCCGTCGACTCGTCGCCCCTAGGCTGGCCCGTCGCCCCTAGCCCGGCCCGTAGGCCCGTCGCCCCTAGCCCGGCCCGTCGCCCCTAACCCACGCGACCCGGCCCGCCGTCCGACGCCCCTACGCCCGCGACTGACGCCGCCCCTAGCTCGGCCCGTAGGCCCGTCGCCCCTAACCCACGCGACCCGGCCCGCCGCCCGACGCCCCTACGCCCGCGACTGACGCCCCTACGCCCCGGCCCGTCGCCCGACGCCCCTAGGCCCGCGCTCGTCGCCCCTAGCCCCGGCCCGTCGCCTGACTTCCCTACGCCCCGGCCCGTCACCAGTCACCCCTAGGCCCTAGGCCCATCGCCCCTAGGCCGCCCCGTCACCCCTAGGCCGCCCCGTCGCCCCTAGTCCGGCCCGTAGGCCCGTCGCCCCTACACCCCGGCCCTTCGCACGACGCCCCTAGGCCCGCGCAAGTCGCCCCTAGCCCCGGCCCGTCGCCCGACTCCCCTAGGCCCCGGCCTGATGCCCCTAAGCCCGACTCCCCTAGGCCCCGGCCCGACTCCCTTAGGCCCAGGCCCGTCGCCCCCAGGCCCGTCGCTCCTAGGCCCCGGCCCAACAGTCGACCCCAGGCCCCGCGAGCCGCCCCTTCCGGCCCGCTCCTCGACCTTGCAGCCCCGCGCGCCGTCCCTGGTGGCCCTCTCACCACCCCTACAGCTCTGCTATCCGCCTCTTGCTGCAGCCTGCCCCCTGCTCTGCATGCTGCGCCACTATGGCTTCTCTCCGTGTGCTAGCGTTCGATCATGAGGTTCGCCCCCTGCAGTTTGACACGTGGCTCGACGACCTGCAGCTGTATCTGCTGAGCGACTCTAGGGACAGTGTTTCGTTGTTTGACCACACGTCTGGCTAACAGTGTGACCCTTTCACAGTGGCTGACTCGCGACGTTGCTGCCTGCTTAGCCATTCGCAACCACCTCCCGTTGGCCGAATGCGCTC